TGTTATCCCATCAAAATAATTAGTGACAACCTAATTCTGTTTTCTGTAGTCTAGAATATATAATTAATCTGCAATAAATAACGCGTTAAGTTGCTAACAGAGACTATTTATAAAGACTAATTTTGAGTATTTTTCTGAAATGTTTACAATAGAATGATGTACAAATGATGATTTTTGAGGGCATCAGGATAATCGATAATCTTTCGATTTTGTTCTAATTTTATTGTGTTTGTACTGTCTGTCCAAAAATATGATGGGCATTTTTTGAATAATGTGACAACAAAAACCGATATAGACTTGTGGCTTTCACCAATCGAAAGAAGAGACTTCGGAATACTATTTTTTTTATAATAGATATTAATTCAAAGTTCACGTTTTTTTTAGGTAGGTTTTCGAGAAGATCTTTGGAAACCCAACTCATAGCTCAAAAAACTTCAGAAACGATTATTTTTGTTATTCTTTAAGGACAGATAGTCCAAAGTGTCCTCTTCAAAATGAGAGCCAAGCATGTCGTTAATTTTCAGTGGTTCGGGGATGGTATCAGATTTCCTTGCAGCCCCACGGCTGACACTCGGCGACTGGACATAGTCTTGAAATCGCATAGAACATACATAATCCATCACCAGTTGAAAATTTCAGAATGTAGATAGTTCTGTTCGCTTAACAGGATTACACGAACGAAAACATTGAAAAAGCAGTTTTTTTGACCAATAGTTTTCAGAAAAATATTTCCGAAAATCTAGGATTTCGCAACTTTTTTGCTGATTTTTTATAAGTGGGGTATCGAATAGCCTAAATATCGTACATTCTGAAAAGTTTTCAACTCATCTTGATATTTTTCGAGTGAGTTGCGAACTTTTTACGAGTAGGTAAAAAACAGTCTCAGAACGCTACTTTTCATAAAACTCGATTTTCACCGAATTCTTGAACTCTTTTCCCAAAATAAACATTGCCATTAGATTTAACGTAATGGATTACGTATGTTCTATGCGATTTCAAGCCTATCTGAAGTGCCGAGTGTCAGCCTGAGAACAGTCGAAAACCACAAGTCTATATCAGTTTTCCTTGTCAGATTATTCAAAAAATAGCCATCCTATCATATTTTCGGGCAGGCAATTGACGTTTGGTTTGGGAGTCAGATTTACAGGACAATATTAAACTTTTGAAAGTTGTCGATAATGATGAAAAACAGGGTTGTCTTCTAATCTGAAGTCAATATTTTTTCGTGTTTCGAACGTTAAAGAAGCAAATTGACGATAGTAGGCATAATATTCAACCTTTCAACTTTCATCTATGTACACTTAGAAACAAAAGGTTTCTTTTCTAATGTTATATCTGTTTGATCGACCGACAAATAAGCGTGTATGAAATAAAACATCAAAGAGAACAGCAACTTCACGCACATAATTTCATTTCATTTTTCTTTTTCTATTTGCACTACTCATCAATTGAGTTATTTACACAGAATGTTGACCGTAGTTATTTTTCGTCTAAGGAACAGTAACCTTAAGTGAGGGGTGTGTAATTTAAGTCTCGATATTTTGCTGCATTTTTAAAATGTTAATAAAATTTTCAGTTTTCGACAAAAATCCTAGATCTGTTGCCATTCAATGACAACAGATCCAGGATTTTGATAGAATCGGCGATTCTATGATTCTATGATTTGCACGTCTCTTGGACACTTCATCTCACTTGGCAAAAAAATTATTTCTAGGACAAAGTTTGGTCAGGTATCGAAGCTCTGCCTAAGTGTCGTATTTTTAACTTTACAAATTTGCCATTAGGAGTTCCACGTTAGTAACACTGTTTTCTGATACAAAACAAGATTCTGAGCAATTTTTGTTCCTACACTTTTGCTCAAAAATGCTTTCCTGACGAGAAAGTGCATATAAAACCTTAAATAACCCTACTTCTTGCACTGCAAACCTATAACCTTCCAAGTGCTTTTCAAATTTCTATGACAAATCTTGTCAGATAACGATGAAATTTTTTGTACATATACATCTCAATCTGCTCTATCGATTAACATCAAAAATGAATTTCAAAATTGAAATGTAGAAGTTTTATTAAATTTTTAAAAATTGACCAAAATAACCAGAAAAGTTTTAAATCACATTTCCGTCAGACAATGTTCGTAAGACCTAAAAAGTTTAGGATATATATTTTAAGGTATCCTATACAAACTGACAAATTTTGGGAGAAATCTAAATGGATACCTACTCCCTCTTAAATAAAAATGATAACATATTTATCATCGTCTGTTCTACAGGTGTTTTTTGATATCAAAATAAAAACTTCATTAAAATATGCGTGAATCATAGAAGAACAAACAATCGTCTTTATTTCTTCTTTCTATTTTCCTGATATTGAAGTCGTGCATGACGTTTAAGCTGTTTATAACAAAAAAAAAGAAAAATAACTCTTCTTCTCACTATCCAATGGTTTACATTAAAATAAAGATGTCTTGTGTTACATTTTGAAACTGCTATATTGTTGCATTTCGGAAATGTACTAAGCAACTTACAGTGATTTTGTTATGTATAAGATTAAAACGACGTAGATGAATCAAGGTTTCTTTTTTCGGGATCAGTAAAATAGCATAAAGTACAGAGTATCATACAGTAAAGAGTTTCTTTTTTTCTTCTCTTCTTGTACACACTTTTATAAAAATGTTTATCAACACACATTAAAAGAACTTGACTACTGCATTTATTATTTTACTAAACGAAAAGGTATTTGAGTAGAAGAAGTGTTTGAGTAAGATAGAAGTCTTAGTTTCGGAGTACGTTATTAGCGAGTAGATTAAACTGTAACTTTTATTTACAAATATCAATCATTTAGAAAATTTTAGGTTTATTTAATAAAAGAGTTTTAAAGGTTTGTCAACCGTTTTTTTTTTGTTTTAGACTATAAAATCACTGTTTTTCTTGATATTTTCTTACTTTCTTACAATGGCTTCATCTGGAAAAGGTGGAATACAAGATGCATTTGATAAATATTCAAAATTTGGTAAAACAGAAACACAGCTAAAAGATAAAGATATTCGAATTGAATCAAAAAATATTCAAAAAATGATGAAAGATACTGGTATCATTGATACGAAATACACATCTCAATTGCTTGACAACGATATTGCTCGTGTATTAGGCAAACTAACAACTGGTGGTACATATCAAAAAGGAATGTAAGTGTATCCAATAGTTAAGAAACATCTTACATTGATTGACTCTCTTTTTCTTCGTTTTTTAAGTAAAACATTTGAAGTTAATGGTTTTAAACAACTGGTCGAACAAATTGCTACCTCGAAAAACGTTAGTGTTGATCAAATAATATCAAAAATTGGTTCAACCGATGGTCCAAGTCTTTCCCATGTTACAGTGAGTATATCTATTCACATACTTGTTTTTTCTTAATAGATAGTAGTTCATCATATTTTCTTCTTTAGGGTACTGCTAATAAAGATATAACCGATCGTATGACGGATACAAGTGGATATACTGGTTCACACAAAGAACGTTTTGATGCTGAAGGACATGGTAAAGGTATCGAAGGTCGCGCAGATTTAGCAGATAATAAGGGATATGTTACTGGTTATAAAGAAGAAGGTTCTTATGATAAAAAGCATTAAATCATTAATTAAAGAAAATATATATTAAGACAATTCGTGTGTTTGTGTTTTTAGTTGACTAGAACTGTTATATTTGTGCATATTCTAAACTTCAATAAAATTTCAGATAAAATCAAGTTGTACTGTAGATTCACTCAAAGAATATTGTATATTCGACTAAGAATAACAGTTTCTATCACGTATGGTTGATCATTTTTTCACTAGTTGTTCCTATTAACAAGAAATTATAACGTTTGTAATACTCTTTTGTTAAATTTACTGAATTTGTCACTGTTGAAGGATTTTAGCTTTAAGATTTATGATAATTATGCCTGTGTTAAATAGCGAAGTTTGCTGTTCAATTGGGCGTTACACATCGTTAAACATTATTTAATTACATTTTATTACATATTTTATTGAAGAAAAATGAACAAAAACGCAATTTAATTCCCTCACACAATCAGCCTTGACTATAAAAACGAACAATTTATTTCCGAACATTTTCATGATTTTTTTTCTCCCTATTTCATATAATTTCTACGTTAAAATCAATCACGTATTTGCTTTTTTCTTGTTCTTCGGCTTCAATTCAGGACATGTGACAGTGTCGCTCATCATATAGCCGTCTGGAAACAGTAAGGTTTACTAATTTACAAATGTAAAAGATTGTAAAAAAGAAGAATACCTCTAAATTATATGCAATATTTTAGACTTTTCCATACACTTTCTAGCTCATCGTAACTATTTAATATTAATAAATTGATATCATTTATCAATGATTAATCAAAGTTGTTAAAACTTGAAGCGATCGCAAGTAATTTATTAAGAGCATAAACAAACATAAATTGATCATTTGTTTTTATATGGGATATGGCTAATGTATTTTATAGGAAAACTCGTTAGTAAACTTTCCTCATAAATCTTAAAATATGTAGATCTATGTAATGATGTATAGTCTGATGTAATATGTGAGAAAAAGATTGCCAGAGGACGGTAAAAAATATTTTCGGCGAAGTCCACAAATTTTTACAATAACATCTTTTGCAATATTTCATGAAAGTTTATACCAGTAGAACTCTTGTCTATAAAATTTCGTAAGATTTTAATACTAAGATCTTACAGGATTGTCATTCCCAATCACAAGAGCTTACAAAAATTTTAAGAGATATTAAATGATCTTATAAGATCGTATAAAAACTATATGTATATGTGCCTTGTCCTTTCTATTGGTCTCTTCATAAACATATCTCTTTCTCTTTATAATATTGTCTAGCATAGGTGCGACGTAGAAACCTCAAGCTATATTTAGTCACATTTTTTAGCCACATTACATGTACTCAGCTGACATACGAAGTTGAGAAAAAAGAAAAATTTTGAAGTTTATTTATAAAAATAATGTTATATATCTATATATTCGACATTTCGTAACAAAATTTACATTATGATGATAAGTCATAGTTTCTTGCAAAATCTTGTATTATTCTGATAAAGGCAGTCGTATAATCTTGTAGAATTTTGTATAATCTCATAATCAAGGATAAACATAACCCAGCAATCTCACTGATACAATTTTATTAGATCTTGCACGATCATACGATTTGATGTCACAATATATTGTCACACCTTATAATGTGATCTTGTAGGATCTTATGTTCTACGAGATTCGACAATATCTTAGATGGTCTTATTAGAACATATTGTAAGATCATGCGTGCAGGAGCTACTTGTTCGACTGAAAAACTTCCCCACCGAGAAAATTTCTAAAAAATTCCCTAGCATCAGAATATTTTCTACTGCAATTATTTTCTAGCAAAAGTGTTATTTTTTTGGAGTTTTTTCTAAAAATTTCTCCGAATTCAAAATTTTCTCCGACAGCCGTTGAAGCAAACGGGTTCGTTTTACATCTATGATCATGCGATAAGATCGTGTCGTACAATTTCATAAAAAATGACAAGGTGAATTTCACCTAAGAAAAACAAATTGCCTGAAACTCTTCTTTTCCATCGAACGACACAAAAACCAAGATACCCCTCAAATATCTCAACTGTATGTATATAGCTCTACTACTTTGATTCTTACGTGTTCAATAGGCTTCAAAAGAATAAGACTATCTATTAATGAAAAACTTTAACAAAAATTTTCAATTATAATACCATGATCGGATAGCCTAAAATATTCTCTCTCGATCAATATATGACTGAAGTCGCCAGATGACAGAATTTTGAAGTTACAGTTTTTCGCTAGGTTTTTGGACTTTTATCTGGAAACAAACATTGTCAAGACTCAGTGTAGTCTATAAGTTATGTTTCTATGGTCATTAGATCTGTAGAAATACACAACGAAATCTTGTATCTTCGAAATTCTGTCATCTGGTGACTTCAGTCATGTATTGCTCGAGCGAGAATAGTTTAGACTATTCGATCATGGTATTATAATTGAAAATTTATTAAAGTTTTTCATTAGTAGATAGTGCAAAGTTTTTTCATTAAAACGCGGAACAACGTAGGTGTTTGTCACTTTCGCATCAAAAGCTATTCAAAAGACATTCGAACTCATTATATTGAAAATCAATAATAATTCTTCTAGAAAGATGCGCAAAAAGAAACGTATTCTTAAAGTTTCGACGTAGTAGAGAATGAAACAGAACTTTTTTTTTTGACCTTTGTCTAGAAGGTGACGTAATATTTACTAATGACGTGAGTAAACCGGTTAAAAAAAAGAGAAAGCGAAGCATTATACATAATGTATTGCAAATCAATATGAGCAGTAGTTATATATTATCAGTTTGTTGAAGATGTTTTTCTTCTAGTTCATCTTCAGCCTAAATTTAGAATTGACGGTTTTGCATATATCTTCTTCACATAATTTTTATCAAAAGTTACATATGTCGAAAAAAACATGTATGAGCCTGATTGCTTAAGATATAAGCATTAGTCATATAAAAACAGAGTTAAGTATAAAATTACAACTGTCTTTGAATGGAAACATAAATAAGAATTGAGTTGAAAATTATACCCCATCATAGTGATTTAGACAAACGATACTTCTTTTTGTGACTCACGAAGAAGGAAAGCAATTTTTGTTTTGAAAAATCCTATCATTATTTCCCATTCATACTTTCTTTCAACAAACAACGTCATTCAAGGTTTGTTTTGTCGTGACCAAATACGAACTTCATTTTTAAAAAACGTTTTACATTATCAATACACATTCAAAAAATTAATAGGTGGTTTGTCAGCAGCTGTAGTACCGTCGCCTTCACAAAAATTTCATTTCTCACTAGCAGAACTTCTTGAAGATGTTTTTTACTTAAAACCAGATTAATTGTCAAAGAAATAAACAGCATTTCTATCTGAAAACTCCTAAACTCACGCCTGCACCACAATCACTTCCATGATATTGGTATCGATTTCAACTTTTCCAACTGAAAAGAGCATGCTCATCTTTTAGCATTACTGCTAACAAAACAAAACCCCAAGCATTTCCCCTAAGATTGTGATAAAACGTATCGTAAATAGTAAAATAAACTGTACTGATCACAAATGATGTTTCTAGCTACTGTTACATAATTGCCGAGTTAGGACAATTTTAGTTTTTTAATGTCCAAAAAATATCCTGTTTTTGATTGGCCGTATTTTCTGATAGGTACCCTTCTTAATCAAATATATTTGATTTCTTTATAGAAAATTCGTTCTTAAGCAGTTAGATTTTGAGAGCTGATCCTAGATATGTTGTATGTGTCAGTAGTATATTATAGTTTAAATTTGATTTCGTTAACCTATATAGTTGGAAAAATATTTCGTCTTTTAAATAAACTACCATCATAAATTTTCTTCAAGCATACCGACACTTTTCCGAGCTGAAAACTCAATAATTATACACACATTGTTGATTTATTAACGATTTTTTAGTTCAACTCTAAAAAATTTTATCTTCAAAGATAGATTTTATCGTCAAAATTTCCTACTTTTATGTGATTTTATTCTGAGTTGAAAGATTAGGATTCTTCAGTAGTCCAAAAGCAAAACAGAACATTTGAGACAAAGGAAAAGGCTTCTTTTTTTCAGCATGTCTAAACTGACGACGTCAATATAGGTATTTTTAGAAAAAGGGAAACTATCAATGACTATTAGTTCTCTTAGCAATAGTGCATTAGTCAAAGATGAACACAGAAACAGTTTTATAGTTAACAGGTTAACGATTTAAAAAAACAGTGAATAGACAATAGTCACAGTTTTAACAGGTATTACATTCCCCTATGAAATTGATTTTGCCTATATTCCAGTAACGGTTTAGGTTAACAAACTCAAACTTCGGCTAATATCAGTAAGCTTTTATGCAGAGTTTATGAAGAGACTGAAAAAATTTGGAAAGCCGAACTGTTTAACGTCATATATTTATACTCAATTTCATAATGCATGAATTGAGTACAAATAACGTCAGGTCAGATATATGCAGTTTTGTAGAAAATCTCGTCAACTGTAACCTGGTCCCAACTTTACATCATATTCCTTCAAGAATTACAAAGATTTTAAACGTAAGCAAATAATAAAAGAAAGAATACTTGTTTTTTCGATCAAAATTATACTGTTATGCTTTAAATCTTTGTGTCACTGACTAAATTAACTATTTGGTTGAAGAAAATATGGTGTAAAGCTAGAATGCACACCAAATTATAATTACAAGGCGTTTCCTTTTAAATCGTTTGTTGGAAAAAACCATCTATGAGATTAAAACAAGGTGAAAAAAGTTGTAAGGTATAGTCTATTTGAAATATTCATTATTGTTACACTCATATCTGGGGACACGATAATTTTCTTTTACTACTCCTTCTATAATTATACTACATATTCGAGAGAGAAACACATTTAACTACTACTTCCTGCTAGAAATATGCACACAGCGAAGCATAAAAATATACCCTTATTATGAAACCGTCTATATGAATAGATTTATTCATACGGGAAGATCCCAGGCGTCATACTACTTTTTTTCATTCAAACATATCTTAAATATCAAAGTAAACAAACTATGTTGATTATGAATATAATATATTTAGATACTACCGTTAGACGGTTGCTAAGTTAAAAAACAATAGTATTATTTTACAGTTGAAAACTGACTCATTTTCAATGAATACTTTAAAGATATGTCAGAAAAATTCATCAAATGCATACTATTGTAGAGAAGCATCACCGCTCCAATTTAGTATGTATCTTGACTTTACAACATATTTCTTCAAGAATTACAAAGATATTTACTGTTTATGTGTGTTTTGTAATATATCATTCGTGTATGATCTTGCATGTCACCAAATAGAAGTGACACTAGATTACTGGCAAAAAATCACGTACACGTCTCCCTTTGTACATGGCGAGATGTGCGCTACTCTTTAATGCTCACTGTTTCGGTCATGTTAAATTTTCTCCTCCTCCTCTAATACTTAATTAACCTTGCATTCAGAAGTGTGGGTTGAACATAGATCATGATTATTCATCAACAGATGATTCATTCTTGAATGTGAATTTTAACTGAGTACGTGAATATCATCTGTAACTAGAAGAAAACTCAATTGCACAAAATAATTCGGTATTTTTAAAATAAAACGAGAATATTTTTTTGAAATTATTTTTAGTGTGTCACTCCTACATATATTCTTTACATGTGTACAGATATCAATCGAAGATCTTTTTCCGATTCGATTGCAATAATAGAAAAAGGAACAGGAACAGAAACGTTGTATATCTGTGTAGGATGAATTATGGTTTTTTCTCTGCTTGATGTAAACATTAGATGAATACGAGATAAAAATAGAACAGAGAAAAAAATAGAGAAAATTGTTACAGTAAAATATGTTTTAGTCTTTTATTTTTCATAGCAGTTTTATGATGCAATTCTTCTTTTCAGATTGAGCTGCAATTATTCTACTTATTCCTCTAAAACAATGAATCAATCAAATAGAACTAACTCCCATATCAAAACATCACATGTTCACAGCGTGGATTTGTCGGTGCCATTCGATTTACCAATTACTGACGCTTATTCTAAAGTTTCATCATCTATTGATCCTATTAAACAAATTGAACAATGGTTAAAGTCACCGTCAATATCACCACCACCTCTGAAAATCACACAACAGCCAATAATAATGCCAATGAATAATGATTCAAGTGCAACATCACCAACCCAAAACTCTGCACCGTCAGTTCCAGAAAGAAGAACTGATCAACAACCACTAGCTAAAAGTCATGTCAGGTACAGATGACGAAATTACACATTACACATTGAATATTAAGTAAACTCGAAATATTTGTTTTTTGAGATATGGACCAATAACCGTGAATCCCCGAACAAAACCAGCTAAAACATTATTCACTGGTCGAAAATCGAAATATGAAGTATTGTCGTCAGATGAAGAAGAAAAACGTCGGTACGCGATTATGTATGAGGAATTTTGAACATTACTGATGACTAATTCAATTTCTAGATTAAGACGTGAGAGAAATCGTATAGCAGCAACAAAATGTCGTGAAAAACGTGAAGATGTTATTGTTTATTTGGAAAAAGAATATAAAATTGAAGTAAATAAAAATAAACAGTTGAAGGAATATCTCGAAAAACTCATAAAAAAATATGAAGGATTAAAAAAATTAGTGAAAAATCATTCTGATGTATGTCAACTTAATCCGAATCAATCGAGACTTATGAATGATCAACAACTAATGTATCTAACATCAACAGTCAATGATTATCTTGTTAATACAAGCACACTTGATGACAATCTACCATCATCGTTGACAAATTCAATAGAAGAAATGTCATTTGGAAACACTGCACGTACCTCTTTTTCTGATGTTAGTTCTATGCGTGTAGATTACAATACATCACCAATCGCCTCTTCGCCTCATCATTATACTTGTACTACAACGAATAAAATCGACGAGATCAATTCTTATCCCATCCAAATATCACATAATGTATCACAGTTGCAAGATAATTTCTTTTTAACTAAGTCAGATTATTTACAACAACAAAATCAATCGTTATTACCATTCTCTACCGCGTGTGATCAACAACAAAATTATGATCATTCACAATCAATGACTAGTCAAACGGACAATACAGCAACAAGAACGGTCCCTCAAGGCTCACTATCGTCTGTAAAGTTAAATCTCCCACAAAATGCTCGTCAAATATTCAATTTTGATATATATTGTGCTAATAATTTACTCGTATCAAATTGTGCTAGACAACATAGTTCAAGTAGCGAAGACGATTCAATATCTCCGACACTTACATCAGTGTTTTAAAAACCACATTTAAAATGCTGGATTTTTTTTTAACGATTATATCAAAATGTAAACTTTTACGGATTTTTTTAGCTTCTAACGGGTGCTTTTAATTGCAAAACAATATATATTTCTGTTTAGTAGTTGTTTGATAATATTTACTATTTAATCGTGGATACATTTTCTTTTTAAAATTATAGTTTTAATTTTGAATATATGCATAAAGTCTAGAATTATGGTTTCTATTTTTATATAATGATATTTTTATCTTTTCACTTTTTGGTATTAGTTTTTAATCTGATGTTATAGACAACAACTATATTCTTCCACTAAAAAATTTTTTTTCTTACAGTTCTCTCATAACAGATGAAATAGTGATGTTAAGTTTATTTACATTCCGATCTTTAACTTTTCTGATGTGGAAACGAAATAACAAAAATTATTTTATACATATATGTTTAGATAACAACTAAAATGTATTTGTCTTTTGAGCCGACTGATGAAAAGCTATGTTATAGTTTTCAACAAAAATACATCTGACAATTTTTTTTTTTTTATCACAATTTATTATTACAAAAAATAATCGATCGTATAATAATAATACTTTTGTAAAAGATATAAAACATCAACGGTATAATAAGAAAATTATTCTGATAAAAAATTAGTCGGAACGGTCAAGATTTTAATGATGTTTTATGTAATATTTCATTACATTAAATATGTCATTTGTTTTCGACGAAAAAAATAGTACAGTATAATTTTAATAAAAAAGAAATGTAGATCTAGATAAAACTAGATTTGATCACTATAACTTTAGCGAGTATGCTTAGTTTTAACAATATAATAAAATACTTAAACCTGTTTAGAATAATTTATTGAGTTTCATTTTCAATTGGTCAGTTCGAGTATAAAAACAGTTTATTATATTAAGCCATAGAGAAAGAAAATACAATAAAATGATAGACTTATAAAGAAATAAAACACAACAAGAATAAATGATAATAACAATAATTATCGTGGGGGAAAAACATGCATTTAAATTAGCCTTGATCCATAGCCAAACGTTTGTTTAATTGAGTCAATATAGAAACGTTTCCAACCTTCCATTGTATTATCATAAAAATGTGCAGGTACACCATTTTGTCTTACAACCAATTTTGTTTGGTCTTTTTCATCAATAAATTCTAATCGCACATGTGAAAAATGTTCCTCAGGCCATTGTTTAAATCTCCATAACATTTCTATTGTATCATAAGGAATAATGTCAATAAAATTACCAGTGATATTACCACCAAATAACGAAAACCATCCACCTTGTTTACAATCGTAATGCTGAACACTGTTTTGTGTAAATGCTTTAACCCTGTTAATATCCGTGAATGTTTGAAATAATTCGTTACGTGAACATTTAAAATAATCTTCGATTACTAAATCTTTTGTTTCTAAGATTTTTGATGATGAGGATGATGTCGTAGACGATGTAGATGAGTTACTTTTTGATACCACTCTTTGTGTAGACGGTGGTGGTGGTTTCTTTTCAATTGATGATGAAATTATTTTATCTTTTGTTGGCAGGATAAGACCTTGTGAAAATTGTTCTTTTAACAATCGTACATATTCACTTAAACGATGTCGAATAATAGGCGTGCCATGAGTTATCATTAATTCTTTAAATTTTTGTCCTTTCGTTTCTTTTTCAATTGAGTATGATATGTCAACTTCATCGATCGAATTTTCATCAGAAAGATTGGGAATTTCTAATTCTCCTTGATATTTGGTTTTATTATCATTATCTGAATCTTTAATGTAACCTTCGTATTTTGCTTCAATATGCCACTCGTATAAATAAACTAATTTTGCTTTACGATTATTAGCTGACGCTTCACCATCACATTTTTTCAGTTCTTTAATATCACAACGTAGTTGATCATTTTCTATCGTTAAACCAACAAGTAATTCAGATAATTTGTCTTTCGACCATTGTGTGGCATTTTTTTCAACCCTAAATTGAAAATAAATGTACCACCGTGTTCAAAATAAAAAATTGTGTTATAAACAACTAACCAATGCCAATTATTTACATTTGTAGCATCTATATTAAATAGAAAAAGCAAATAAAGAATACAAAGTCGTTCATGTAGAATCATTAACACAATTATTCATGTTAACATTAAGGTTTCATTTAAAAAAAAACAGAACACAAAAAAACATACCAAAAAAATGACTACTGATAACATCGAGGCGATTGCACAACTTCAATCGTTGTACAGAATATAGATACAGAACGGTGAATTAAGTTCACATGTTCGAATCTCTATTCGTACAAAAATTGATTTTGTGTTTTTCGATAGTTTTAGTTTAGAATACTACTTGTATTCTGACAGAATAAAGCTTATATAAATAAAAAAAACCATTAAAGTTGCTGGTGAAGAAAACTTAGTCTACCGAACAAGCTTTTTTGTCAATTTGAGCAAAACAAGATCTCTTTTTACTCAATAAAATCAAACAGATATACTCTTAAAATCCTTCAATTCGTATATTAGAAACAAGGTGGCACCCGACACAGATAGAGAGAGATCTAACAGCAAATCTGTTACTAAAAATTGTACTATACGACTTGTCCATGCGTTACGCTATTGCGTTTTTTCCACACTGATTCTTGATTTTCTCAGCAACAGTGAGCGATAGAAGAGCCATGCTAGCGTCAGTTTGTGTGTCGATCGCATCCCAATTTATGATAAAAAAATGAGCGAAATCGATTTTGAAATACAGATTCTGTAGTCAAAAACTAAACCCGTAATGCTGTTATTAAAAAAGTCCTAAATTTTTGGTGATTTATGTAATTTGGAAAATTTTCAAAACACAAAGAATTCGCAAAACCTTTTAAAGACCACATTTTTTAGCTAAATTAATGGACTATTTAATGCTAAAAAAAAGTTTTGTATAACTTAAATTTGTACTTGCCTATAGAGTTTGGCATAGGATGAAGGTGGCGTCCACGTCAGAAATAAAGTTACAAATATTTTTCAAGTTTTTGAAAAACTCTGCACATAAAATGTTTCTTTTGTGAACTTTGAAAAATTAAAAAACTTATAAAATTTGTTCTAAGTATCAGAACTTCGAAAAATGGAGCCATTTTATAGACAATTTAATTCTCTAGAGAATATCGTAGTTTTTAAACTTTTTCAGATAACTATCTAGGCGAGCAAATTAGTTTTTAAAAATGTCAGATTCGTAATCAGCGTGAAAAACTGTATCTAGTCATGTTATTTAAATCAATTCTACAATGAAAAAAAATTTTTCAAGAACTTAATTAGCGAGGTGTCACGTTACGTGGACAAGCCGTATAATAAATACATTTTGTCTTTTCTACTGGATTTTGCTGATACATTGGAGAAACATGGAACAAAAAATATCACCGTTTATCAATTTACCTGGACGATCTTCAACAATCCATCTAGGATCACCTAAAACATAGAAATATCAATCAAAAATGATATGGGTGAACAAAAAGCGTGACAAATACTCTCAAATGGTCATATTTTTCCCTTTTATATACTCTGTATCTGTCTATATGTTTCTCTAGTCTTATTACTGCTTGTTACTATGGTTTTCTACTGTTTCTAGACTCTGTATGTTTACCTTCGCCCCACTTCGCCATTATTTTTTTTTGTTTTCTTTTGTTCCTATTTTGAAACAAATGATCAAAAATTGAAAATGATCAACGTTCCAAAAAGTCAATAAGGGACACGACGTCTCTGAGCTACGTGCAATCCTCCACGACAACGGATCTTCGTCAAAGTTTTATTTAAAATTATTAAATAAATTCAAAGTTATTTAAAAGATCGTGTAAAAATATACCTTGAAGCGCCGCATCAATATCTGGAATCTTCCGATATATTCGTTTTTCTATTTGCTAAAAACAACGAACTAAATAAATCTTGCGCCATCGTTGTATACATCTGGCCGACATTCAGTTACCCTTGGTTTCAAAATATATGAATGAAAGTAGTATTTTCGATTTCATTCACATACATAGATAAAATTGAAAATAACTCATCCTATATTAGTTCATGGGGTGAAAATGTTTGAATAGATGTCGCAGAGTTCTTTACCATAGCCATTCTTATCATTGAACAACAACCGATGTGTTTAATGTTAAGACAGACGGTTAAATCTCTGTCGGTCATGAACTTCTAAATAACTTTTCGATTTGAATCGAACAAGGATACTTTCAAGGTTATCTGACTATAGCTGGAGCCAGTTTCACTAATAAAACAAAACCGTGCTCGATATTGTTTAATATACATCAATCTCTCTTCGAGTCATACTTAAAAATAAATGATAATAATAAATGATAAGTTACAGTAGAGATGGGTAATACGGGCTTACCTTATGAAACTTTACGAGACAAAATTCGTTCTTTTTTAGCTAATGGTATCTTAAAAATTGATTGCAGAAGTGCGGAGAGATTTTTATCTTTTTTTCATTTATTTTTGGTATTTTTGATGTGATAACCGTTAAATAAATCGATGAAGGTAAAATATCGACAATTTTCTTTACACAAGATGAGCCAAAATAGCTTCTAAGACTTTGTTCGATACGAGACGAATATTCCCCGATATCTAATGACATGAGAGAGCTTGAGAAAAAATTTCTCGAAAACTCAGCAAGGCTAGACGAGACGTTCGAAAACCCCGTTTTGTCCGTCTATGTTCTACATAGGATAAAATAAAAAGAGATATTATTTAGAAGACAATTGAATTCGCTCTCCGCTAACATTCAACATAAAGAAAAAAACTATGTATTTTTATCACTTATATTTTATTGTAGATATATAGCTAATATAATAATAATTCGTATACACAGACAAAGACAAAAAGAAAACAGGACACAGTCAAATTACAAATAAAAACACAAACTGAAAAAAAGTAAAATCTATCATGATTTTCGTAGCAGTGTTATACTCAATAATTTCTAGATTTATTTCTACTGCTCTACCTTCAAATTATTTATGAAAAAAAGTAGTTCTTAACGTTTCACAAAATAAAAAAGCAGTTTGTTTGATGTGAGAAGTACTCTAGTGACTGTAAAATTGAGTCTAAAAATCGTATATGAACTTGCTTAAAACCCTTTCAGGACCGGTTTAATTTTTATATATACAGGGCTGTTCAAAAGTTTAAGACCTTTTTTATTTTGCAATATCTCGGCTTCCCTACCAAATAGAGACTTCATCCTTTCGTCAAAAGAAAGCTATCACTAAACTCTACCATATGTGAAAATATCGTTAAGTTTCAACTTATTTTGGCGGAGTTAGGTAGAAAACAGTATTTTCCTAAAAAAACGGAA